CACTTTATTTATATACCGCTCTATCTCCCCTAGGGGATTCAGGGTTTTCATGTAGGCAAAATAACACAGAAAACATACAGAGTAACCATTTAAAACATAGGCATAAAATTATTAACCCAAACATATACATCAAAACCAGTTCCAACACTGTTGTGCAAAATAAGCTACCAAGGCTCAGAATTTCAAAGTGGGCCTAGACAGTTTGTGAGGGCTGGGCCGAGACTAGTGCAGAGAAAACATAGGGCTGGGGGCATTAGTAAAGTGCAAGCTGCAGTCCCAACTAATGACCATAGTGGGGCCTGGGGCTACTCATTTCCAGGGCATGCTACAGAACTGTAAACTATAAAAAAGGTCTGGGGCAGGGCAAGTCCCATGAGATGACAAAGGATCAGGGGAGTGGGTGAAGGTCAAAGCTAACTGATGGCCTGGGGCCTGGAGCTTGAGACTAGTCGTTTTCAAAGGCCTGGTGAAACCACCAAGTCTTCAGGTTCCTACAAAAAGAGGAGAGTGATGGGGTCTGTCTTATCTCTCTGGGGAGGATGCTCTAGAGGTGGGGAGCATTATACAGTAAATTCTAATTAAAAATGCTCAAAGCACGCAAAATGACAGGGAACAGAGAGCATTTCCAGCATTCACTTATAGAAAAGTTGTCAAAAATCATCTTATACATGAGTGTGTACAGCATGCATACCTTTGTTTATAATTTAATAAAAACAAGAATTTTAATTCACTCAGCTTATTCATAACTGTTATAAGCAAGCAGGTGTGGGTTTTACATAAAATGAAGAGTTCTGTATTAATTTTGCTTTGATTAAAGAATGCTAATGGTTGTGTGGAGTTTGTGTGTTAGGTTATTATGCATATGATTGCAATTGAATTCGTTTCCTATAATGCTAATTATGCAAAATGTTGTCTTCCGTTCATAATTTCCAGTGTCTTGTATTAAATGTATTTCTGTTTATCAGAAGGCTGCTTCCTGTATTACTTGATGAAATAAACCAGGAATAGAGTAGGATATTGTAGTCAAAGCTGTGTGAAAGGGCTTCGGGAACTGATTACCTCACAGCACAGTTATCTCAAGTTGTTGCATATGCCCCAAATTCCACCTATATTTGTGAATCTTAGATATCATGAAGACCTAGGGAAGTAGTCACATTGATATAATTGTGGAAGAGGTATACAGTGTTGGGTAAACTGTCTTGTTTCACACTTCTTCTTAGCATCATTTTACAAAGTTTGCAGCACCAGTGCATTCACGTCCAAGATGTGTCCCCTATGGATATGGGGGTTGTAATGTACAGACAGAGAAATGGGCGAGAAAATGCTCCTCAATCACATAAAGAATTGGCTTTAAAAACACATACATCCCCATTAAACATCTGAAAGGTAGTCAAGATTGTTCATGTGGTTTTGGTTTTTAAAACTAGAGTTTGCTTTAGAGACCTGTCTGTTTTCCTTCTCTTAGACTGCTTTTTAAAACTGTTCTGGAAGAATGTTTTTATCAATTTGTGCCTGTTGTTCAGAAATGCTGGTAAATTGAGACACAATTAACAAATGCTAATGCTACTGCTGATAAGTGCAGTGATTTTCTTTGAAGGCATTTCTTAAAAATATCCTAGCCCTCTTCTTGTTTCTTTCATAAATTGTTTCTAAGAACCCTTGAAAAAAAACCACAAATAATAATTTATTTTAAATAAAGAGATGACGTGTTATTTCTAACTTAAAGAAAAAGAAATTATGTTGATCAAACAACCTTGATATGAAAGTATTGATTGTAGAACTTGTACTTTTTCTGCTTAGTAGTTTGTAACACATAAGTTAATCTCTCCACCATTTTTGGCTCTTGGGTAATTGACATTTTTCTATAATGGGCCCTAGGATGTCTGTAGATTACATCATGTGCTCATACCAAATGGTCAAACTTAGGTTTGTCCCAAAGCTGGCAACCACAGTACCTTGGCTTTGATAATTTTGGGGAATGGTTAATTAGAAGCTTCCTAGTTTGACTGACCATACTTTTAAAGGGACTACATATACAAACAAAACCTTCATCAATGTTGACATAGTAAGTGTAGATATTTAAAACTTTCTATGAATGCTTTTAATATATTGACAGTTCCATGCTGAAAATACGTTACAGAAGCTTTTAAAAAATTGTATTCTGACAATTTAATTAGAATTAAATGATCGCAGTAAAATCAAAGATATTAAAAATAACATGTCCACTTGCTTAAAATAAGGTTGGCATTCATGCAGAATTATCTTGTTGCACATGAAAAATGTTAAAACTTTGAAAACTCAGTTCTAACATTTGGAACACTTGGTCAAATCTGAGTGAATATAGAACAATCTCTCCATGTTTATTATAGCATATTTCCCTTCATTTTTCATGATCCTTGATGTGTTTTGCTATAAGTAAAGAAATGGGAATGATTCTGATTGTCCTAATGTGTGAATACTGCACACCCCTGAAAGTGGGGAGAAAGCCTTGAAATGTTCTGTGGATGTAGGGGGTATTCTTAGTCCCCAAGGGAAGAAGATATGTGTAGTGGTAGTAGGTGATTTCCTGTTGCATGTAACAGAAGAAATTGTGTATATGCCCAGTAAGATATTTTGAAATGGGTGACAAGACTCTTGAAGTCCACAATCTTTCCTCCTTCCTTCTGATCCACACGGGAACAAAGGATATGGCAAGATGTACTCTTCAACATATTGCAAGGGATATAAGGCTCTGAAGAGGAAGCTAAAGTATTTGGGACAGAGGTGGTTTATTTTTTGATCCTTCTTGTTGAAGGAGATGGCTCAGGAAGAGGGAGAATGCTAGAAGTGGACAACCATAACTTCAAGAGAATGGAAAGGCTGAATACAGTGTTTGTGATGATGGGCAACTGTCATTCTGGGTAGAGGAGACATACTGAAACAAGCAAACTGATGCACTGTGAGTCCGTGAAATGACATATTTTAATTTACTAAAGTTACATCAAATTTCTGTTTTGGTTTTGATGAAAGGAACTCTTAGTTAAAAATGCAGTAATGTATTGTATGACCTCTAGTCCAATAAAAGTGAAAAATCAGTATTACCAATGGAAAAAGAAGTTTCCACTACTTTTAAAGTATGCAAACAGTCAAAACGTTAAAGATAAACTTTCATATATTACAGCAAAATAAGTAATCTATATAGCCCATGAAAGCTTTATATGTTCCATAAATCTATCCCAAAATAAGACTCAGCTGTTGAAATTGCACTCTGGTCACTCTGTAGGGGCTTTCTCAGACATGGGTTCACCATGCTGTGCCTCTTCTCACGTTAGATAGATCTTCCTCAAAATAACTCCTGAATCTTGTGAGAGAAGAAAGGAAGAAAGAATGGCACCTACAAGGGGTGTGGGCTGAGTCAAAAACAACTTGAAGCCTGTGAGAGAAATACAATTTTTCACCCGGGTCTGTAGAGTACTGTGATATGTTGGTATTGTTTTAGCTGGGAGCATTAAGTGAAGGTGGATTGTTTGATACTTCTGAGTTTAATATACGGAATCTTTACATATTGTACAGTGCTTAAACAGTGGGGCCCATAATATAGCTGCCCCTTGTAACAAAGAAATCCTTAGTGTGCTATATGGGTAATGCGCTTAGTTATATAAAGGCTTATACTGCTACGTTGGCACAGTAATCTTTGATAGCACCAACTTATTATGAATGAACACAGTGACAGTTGCTTCATTCATATCGCATACAGCTTCTTACCTCCCAGGATAATTGCAGAATCTCATTAAAGCAAGATATAGCAACCTAATTACAGCATGCAGTTCATATAAAGGCTTCTTTACTTTCTACATAGGTTAATAGAAGATTTAAATCTTAGTAGAAAGCCAAAGTAAACAATTATTTTTGCAAAAATAGTAGACTTCTAAAAATTTAAAGCAGTTGGTTTTTCCGTTATAGTCAAGAAAAGGTTTAATTTCCAGGAGTTCACTGGGTGCCCTAAATGCAAGGCAGATACTTTAAGCTTCCTTTATATGTCCAAGCCAGCATGGTAGTTAGTAATCTTTACAATTTTTTAAAAAAAATATGGTGTCCAGCTTCTCAAAAGGTACCTATGGAGTTTGACACCAAGGTTAGTGGTATCTACTGGCTAGAGGATTCTGRGTGTTGTGGTCTGTCTTAAGTATTAACTTCTTGAGTACTGGAGTATAGAGAAGAACGCTCCCCCCCCCCCCAATTTTTTGTGTAGCTGGTTGTAGGCTCCAGCCTCATTCAGGCTCCAGCCTCATTCAGGCTCCAGCCTCATTCAGGCAATTCAAGTCAAGCGGCTAATGTAAAGAGTATATGACATAAAATATTTTTGTAGGAAATGATTTGTCACTTGATCTCTATGTGGATATTGTTCATACACTATCACAACAGCATAGAAATACAGCAAAATAGGGAAAATTTTCAGTGAGAAAGAGCTTAGTTAAGAATGAAAGCTATGAAAAATGAAGGCATTTGTGATGGTAACTGCTGTAGTTATTCAGTCATATTGTTGTTGTGCTTATTGAGCACTGTGAATGCTTACAAGATACTGTTCTGATGTAAACGTTTCTCCCCTCCTCACCCTCTTTTTAGCTTAGAAAGGAATGAAGTACGGCTGTAGATAAAGTGATTTTGCTGCATCTTTGTTGCAGACCTCCTTATTTGACGTTAAACTCATAGACTAGAATCTAAGTGGTCATTTGGGTGGAAAGAAGGCACAAGTCCTTACTGGTCTTTATTGTGCACAGAAACTCAGTTAATTCTCTGAGGTTCCAAAAAATTGAGAACTGTTGCAGAAAATGCCCAGCATCAACTTCACTGTCATAAAGGCAGACAACAAGGCTATTTGATAAATATCAATGATTGGACTCATTTGGGGAAAGACTGTTCTTTGCATATGAGAAACTCAGCCTATGCAAGACTTACAAACAATTCATTTATCTGATGGTCCTGGGGAGTTAAAACTAAATATATTTTTTCTCTTTCAGATACTGTTTTGTTTTTGCTTTGGGATACCTCACTGTGTGCCAAATTTCTAGAGTCTATATCTTTGACTATGGACAATATTCTGCTGATTTTTCAGGGTAAGAACAACTATTTCCTCCACCTCATTATTCTTGTGCCCAAATATAATGCGGTCAAATAAATGCTGAGTAAAATATATGTTTTCTAGAGCTTTGTAGATGTCTGCATAATTCAGAAACTCTTATGATCAGCAAATATGACTTTTAAACAGAGTAGGCAAAGTGCTTTAATGCAACTCCACAATTAGGTGCACCCATCTTTCATTTTATTTTTATATTGAAAAGGCCACCCATATCTCATGATGCTGTGTCGGGCAATTCAGAGGTAATTCAGCAATCTTCTGTCCTTGATCCAGGTTAATCAGCTATTTAAATGTGTGTGTGCCTTCAGGTTGCTTGTTGACTTATGACAACCCCATGATTTTCATAGGATTTTCTTAGACAGGAGACACTCAGAGGTGTTTTAGTTCCTCCCTCTGAAATATAGCTCCTTCAAGGTCAGTACAGTCACTTCAAGGATGCTATCCATCCATCTTGCCCTTGGTCAACCCCTCTTTGTTTTACCGTCCACTTTCCAAGCATAATTGTCTTCTCTAGGCTTTGCTGTCTCCTCATGATGTGGCCAAAGTACTTCAACTTTGTCTCTAGTATCCTTCCCTCCAATGAGCAGTCGGGCTTTATTTCCTGGAGGATGGACTGGTTGGATCTTCTCGCAGTCCAAGGCACTCTCAGAACTTTCCTCCAACACCACAGCTCAAAAGCATCTATCTTCCTTCGTTCAGCCTTCCCTAAGGTCCAGCTCTCACATCCGTAGGTTACTACAGGGAATACCATGGCTTTGACTAGGCGGATCTTTGTTGCCAGTCTGATGTCTCTACTCTTTACTATTTTATCGAGATTGGACATTGCTCTCCTTCCAAGAAGTAAGCGTCTTCTGATTTCCTGGCCACAGTCTGCATCTGCAGTAATCTTTGCACCTAGAAATACAAAGTCTGTCACGGCCTCCACATTTTCTCCCTCTATTTCCCAGTTGTCAATCATTCTTGTTGCCATAATCTTGGGTTTTTTGATGTTTAACTGCAGCCCAGCTTTTGTGCTTTCTTCTTTCACCTTGATTAGAAGGCTTCTCAGCTCCTCCTTGCTTTCGGCCATCTGCATATCTAAGGTTGTTAATGTTTCTTCCAGAAATTTTCACCCCAGCCTTGCATTCATCAAGCCCCGCACATCGCATGATGTGTTCTGCATACAAGTTGAATAGGTTGGGTGAGAGTATACAACCCTGTCGTACGCCTTTCCCAATCTTGAACCAGTCTGTTGTTCCAGGGTCAGTTCTGACTGTTGCTACTTGGACCTTATACAGATTCCTCAGGAGAGAGACAAGGTGATTTGGTATGCCCAGTCCACCAAGAACTTGCCACAATTTATTATGATCCACACAGTCAAAGGCTTTAGAATAGTCAATGAAGCAGAAATAGATGTTTTTCTGAAACTCCCTGCCTTTCTTCATTATCCATTATTATTTTATTTGGTAGAACATCCCAAATCATGGTTTACTTTGTCCACACGCTTACCCAATATCCCAAGAATAAGGTAATTGATATGATCTTTTGGCAGCCATAGTGCGCCACCATCATCTATTTATTTGTATAGCGACATGTCTGTACATGGTGCTTTACATGTAAAAGAACACTATGTTAAATATGTTAGGTTTAATATTAGTATTAATTAAGAACTGTGTGTTAATATTGTTGGTTTTTGTTTCCAACTAATTTGCCTAAGCCTATCTATGGAAGGGAATTCTGGGGCTACATACTGTTGAATAAGTAGGTTAGTAGCAAAAGCTTAGTCTATGGATTTTTGTAATTTTTTTGGACTGTATGGCCATGTTCCAGAAGTATTCTTTCCTTACATTTTGTCTGCATCTATGGCAGGCATCCTCAGAGGTTGTGAGGTCTGTTGGAGACTAGGAAAATGGGGTTTATATATCTGTGGAATGCGTCTGGAACGTAGCCATACAGCCCGAACTTACAACAATTATTAGGATATTAGTACTCTTTATGATCCCTGATTTCTTTGGTTTGAAGTCCTCTTTTCTATTCTCCTTTTGTTGCAGCCCAATGATGATAATTACACAGAAAATTACAAGTTTGGCATATGAAATTCATGATGGTAAGAGTGCCTGGACAATTTCTCATTTATTATTTTCTCTAAAAGTCTCAAATATTAACAGCGTGTCTATATTATTTTTTTACTTTCTTATCCTCCTATTAAACTAGGAACTGTATAACTATGTCAACTTTACCTAAATGGAGTTTTACCTGAGTGGAATATTTTGTAGAAGTTTGCACTTCTTAATGACAGTCTGAACATAACTGAAAGAGACGGGTTATTCTCTGTATTTTAAGAATTCAAATTAGATGAAAATTCTCTGTATGCAAAAAAGAATTGAAACTATCAAGTTCAGGGCAGCCAACCTGTACTAATAAAATAGGCAATTGTGATCACTCATGAATTATGCATTGGCTTGATTTTACTTAGCTGTTCTGTGCCTTACTTAGCAATTCATAATTTTTATATAAATTCTGTTGCAGTTCTATGATGATACGTGACGCTTGTACATATGTAAGAGTAAAGCTATTCTGAGCAATAGTTATTATTACTGATCGGTTTATAAAGCTAAATTTACACAAGGAAAGGCTCATTGAAATTAAAAAATTGGCTGGTTCAGTTGTAAATAAACAGGGAGCTGATGTTGTTTTAGGATGTAATGATAATGGTTTAGTGTTATTCAGAGAAACCTCAGCACTCCTCAGACTCAAGCACATCCTCATACCTTTCTAATTCATCTTGGGTGAATTTCAGTTTGGTGTTAGTTGAAAGGAATCTAATTTGTAAGTAGTAGCTTGAAGTTGTTTTGTTTCATTTCATCTTGTGCTGCGTTTTCCTTCAAATTGCCTGTAACTTATGGTGACCTTATAACTCATAATTCACAAATGAATTTCATATAGTTTTCTAAAGCTAGCCTACTACACTATTGGCAGTCTCCCAGCCAAATGCTAACCAAGGCTGACTCTGCTTAGCTTCCGAGACCTGACAGGATATGTCACCTTTAGGATATTTTAGGTGCCTTTCATTCTTCATAGTAAATGTTAAATCATAATTTCCATGAACTGGAATGCTCTCTTTCACAGCCACAGTTGAGGGACAGGGAGATATTTCTGAACCAAAAGATGGCTATGTCTTATTCCTATAATAGTAAACTGTTGCTTGGCTTTATATCCATATCAGCCCAGCGTGTTACATCCCATTTCTTTCCACCATACACAGGAATGTTTCGAAAGGATGACGAACTCACACCATCACAACAATGCTTAGCTGTAAGGTAAGCTCTTCTCTGAACTACCATTCAACTCTTCAGATTTTATTTCCAGTCTATCATATTGCATATCCTCAGCCAGGAGAGGGAGATTGGAAAACACTATGTACAGATCTCCTTTCCATGTATTTGTATACAATACATATACAGCCATTGTGAGCCATTTGGCCCCCAGAAGATCAGTGACATATACATAGTTTAAATATATGTCAGTTTGGATACAGTACTAAGACTGATATGTCACTTTTCATTGGACATCACCATATATTATTTAGGCAAATTTCTTGTCAAGGATTAGTGAGTTTGATCTTCAATTTCTCCTCTAAACTGGTACTCAGATCTCTTCATTGGTCTCTTGCTCGATATTTTAGTATAACTAGTATGTGTTGAAGAGATGGCAGCGTGACACTTTATACCTGTGTTTATGTGTGATCACGGAAATCACAATATCATATTATAAGAAACACTTAATGTCAGCTAGACCTTTAATTTCAACTAGAATATAATCACAGTGGGATATTAATATTATTCTTGTACTAGAGGTCTCTTTAAAAACCTAAGTGAAATCTCACCAGTTGCTTGTCTTTGAATTGCAGACGCATGCCAAGTCTACTGGAGTATTTAAGTTACAACTGTAATTTCATGGGTATCCTGGCAGGCCCATTATGCTCTTATAAAGACTATATTACTTTCATTGAAGGCAGATCATATCAACCGGCACAGTCTGAAGCAAATGGGAAAGAAGAGATAAAATATGAACAAACAGATCCTTCTCCAAATGTAAGACCTATGAGTTTTGCAGTGTTCCTATTCCTAATTGTCATTGCATGTGAGGCTTGGTATGCATTACTTGTTTCTTACAGGCATAACTCTCAAGCTATATGTGGACCATGAATAGTGAATATTCATGAATAGTATAGTTCTATTTTTATTTTAAAAAGTATCACCTCTGCTTAAAGGTAGATATTTTCCATAGATAACTCATTTCTGGACCTTGTGAATCTGTGTGTTTGGGAATTGTCATCCCCATAATTCTACTTGGTGCTAAACAAGATAACATGATAAGGAGGTGGAATAGATAATTTATGTCCTCAGTTTAAATTTTTCATGCCATTTAAATTCCTTAAAATAAACATACTATATTGGATGGTTTTAAATGAGAAGAACCTGAAATATTACAGTATTACAGCTCAAAGACAAACAGTTTAGGCCACATGTGTCAAAAGCAAGACCCGTGGGTCGAATCTGGCCTGCCATGTCATTTCATGTTGCTCTCCAGATGGTAAACTGCAACTCCTCTGTTCCTCCTCATTCAACATCATGACTGGAGCTGATGGAAGCTGTGATACAGTAACATCTGGGAGGCTGCAGATTGTTTCATTTAGTTTGGATCAGTGTCTCTCAACCTGTGAGTCCCCAGGTGTTTTGGCCTATAACTCCCAGAAATCCCAGTCAGTTTACCAGCTGTTAGGATTTCTGGGAGTTGAAGGTCAAAACATTTGGGGACCCACAGGTTGAGAACTACTTATCTGGATAGTGGGGTTTAATTTTAGATACAGGGCTTGCGGATATGATATCTGACTTCAAAATGTCCTTTAACCTTTCCTCAACCTCAGAGCCACTGGTGTAAGTTGAGTTGCAATTCTCATCATTCCCAGTCCACATGGTGAATAATCAAAAGTGAAGGCTGTTGTTCTTTAACATCTGAGGATGTTAAAGAGAACCAACTACTATGTAAAACAATTATAGTTGGCCATAGATTCCCCATCCATGGATTCAATGGGCCTTTAAAGGCAACCATAAAGTCCACGTGACCCTTGATGAAAATGAGTTTGTTACCCCTCGTCTAGGGCATAGGTTTATTCATATGACAAAACTTTCTCTTCCCTTTTTACTGAAATTTCATGTGAACTTTGGTACAACCCCTAGTTTTTGCCATATAGAGAAAATGCAAGATTTTGAAAGATTATTAATAAATCTCATCAATAAAATATGCAACATTTTGTAGTTTTATAAAAGGTAAGATCTTTAAATCTCACTGCCATTATCAATCTTCGAAAGTAATTATGTAGACTTTTATTCAAAAATAAATTTAATTATCTTGTATTGAATATTTTTCCAGATAAGTTTTATACAATTATAGCCCCACTAGAAAATCAAAAGTATATTTTATTTACTTCTGAGGATATAAGTCTCTGTCAATTTTTTACAGAATCGAAGCAGTGAAACCTTACATTTTTCTTTTAGTTTACCTGTTTGATGAATCGTTCCATCTTAGTCTATATACTTATATACCTGAACTATTTTGGTTAGCCTTTGATATTTCCACGAATATAAAGGAGTGTGCATTACATTCTTAGTCAGAAAACATGTTAGAGGATGACACCTAATTCATAATGCAACCAGGCATCGTGAGTTGGGCAATTAATATTCTTATGTGGATAATTTTGAGCTTCAGTATTCTTAGTATACTGACTGCACTTCATCATTGAGTAAAGGAAGTATTTTTGCAAAATTCTGTTTTTCAGTTTGGAAAATAGCTGTTAACAGACTTGCAGAACAAGTTTACTCAGAAAATAAGTCCCACTGTATGAAGTTTGCTTTTTATTAAGTGTGTGTAAGATTGTGGTCTTAAAGCACTAATGCCCTTGATGTCTTGTTGCTTCATGTGTGGCTTAAAAAGTAAGAACCATGTAGTTGGCACATTTTCAAGATTAGTTGGGGTTTAAATTCAGTTTAAATTGAGGTTTAAATTCAGTTTCCCCATGAACACAAAGCATATTTTTTTGGGGAAAAAATAAAGGAATGAACTGTTAATGTGATGGTCTTTGATCAGTGTGGCATTTGCTTCTTTATTGGCTAGTGCCTATTTCCCCACTTGGCTGATTGTGATTGTTTTGAGCATGGAAACAATTTCCCTTTCCTTTCCTTTAAGTATGAATATGCTCAATCAGCATGGTTATTAGGTTTCAACAGAGAGAGCACTTACAACTTAACTAATTGGGAGGGAAATGAATAGCTGATATCTACAAACATTGAAGAGCTGCTGAAATGGCTCTTTTCATGTGTTCTTTTCCCTATGTCTTTAGTACAAAGACTTACAATATTGGATTGGGCAGAGCATAGCCTATGGGCTGTAAACAGCCTTTGGCCTTTACTGGAAGTTATATGACCTATTCTCCCCACTCCCTCTTTTTTAAATCAAAAAAGCACACACACACCCAAGGTAGTTTTCCTGTAAAGTAAGTTTCATAGGTTCTGATTTTTGTGTGAAGCTCAGGGTGGATGATTATCCGGTAAACCTCCCCCTCCCCCAAAAGGTAGTGGAGTTTGGATCTGAAAAATGGAAAAATCATGTTTTTCAAAGGGCCAGTGTCCGTTACATGCTGAGGGGAGGGGGGGGGGAGAGGCAGGATTTATCTGTGGACCCATAAAAATTGCTCAGCCTTGTAAAAAGAGTGTGAAAGAAAAAGGGTGCTGCTTTAATTAACAAAATTTCATTCCTGCTTTTTCTTGCCTATAGTAAATGTGTATTATAGATTGATCCCACCCCAATCTAGTGAAGTGCCTCTGAGAATGTTCAATCCTTTCATGTGTTACTAGTATTTACTAGTAAACTGATTTCCAATTCGGCAGCTCTTTGAAAAGGAGACTCCAAGAGAGATTCCAAAAGGAGATCCCCATTATTAACATTCCTTAATATTCTCTCCACCCCCCCCCCCCCCCCCCCCCCCCACATTGCTTTCAGCTTTACTGGCCAGCATTTTGTTTTTTAATGAGTCATGTATTTTCAAGATATTTCTGAAGTATGATAACCTCCATTTAGTCAATTTGGCTTCTAGTGAGAAAGTAGAGTGGGAGAGGGATGAAAAGACATTGAATTGGTGACAAACTTTGCGAGTTCAACTCATAATAGCTGCAGAGTTTCCAAACCTCAGGATTTTATTTCCAGTATACATTTCCTGTTCTCCACTAGAAGTAATTCTCTATTCCTAATTTAGACCCATATAGTTGACAGACAGTTTAGTTCTTACTAAACATAATCTTGTTAGAAAGCCCTTTAATGGTCTCAAACCACAAGGTCTATAAATGAAGATCTGTGTGAAACACTACCTTCAAAATACCAACTCAGTTCTCCTCACAGGTAAGTGCTCTTTGCTCACATGCTCGGTACTTTTGTTGCATTAGCTTTGTGATATTATTTAAAAGACAATACGTGTAATGTTTTTGATACTTTACACTTCCCAACTGGTGTTAAGAGAAATATGGCTGCATTGTAGAACACCAGTTAATATTACATGCTTTATGGAAAATGTGAATGGTGTAACTTTTCTGCCCCTACCCGCATTTGCTGTATCAAATAGCAACCTCAACTTGCTTTCTTACAGAAAGAATGGCAACTTCTGCCTTGTCACCTTGCTGAAATGCTTCTTTAACAGGATGGGGTTTTATTTCTGGCTGGTTGGCATACTAATTTTTTTAAACAATACTGCATCATTATACTAAGCTTAACTTTCTTGGGTAATGAGTATCAGCAAATGTGAACCTCCACATGAAAGCACTCTGTTCTTCCTAATCTAATATTATTCTTTTCTTGTAAGAATTCAGTTTCTGTAACATAAAATTAATGAGAGCTCATTTTCCTTCTGTTAACTTCATTAGGTGCATGATATCAGCTTAATGTAACAGTTTTACTGTGCTAATTGCATGTTAACTGAATCTAGTCAACATTTTCAAGTGATTTATTTCATATCTCCCTCCTGTTATGCCTTTTTACAAGCTATCATTTGTTGGTGTTCAGTGGTGTCAACTGTCTGAAATTAATGTCTATCTTCGTAAGTTTATTTTTCTTCTAGCTTTCAGCTACCCTCATAGTCCCATGTTCCTATAGCACAAATCCCTCTGCTTCTGGCTTCTTAGAAATATTTTAGCTGTTGAACCCCTTGTTAGTTGTCCGCAGTGTATGCATAACTCAGTATATGGCAAATCCAAATGTCCTCAGCTTTATTTCAGCAGGGAAGCTTTACTGACATTATTACGACTTACAAAGCTGTCAAGCAAATCTCAAAATAAATGTATTCCAACAGGGGTCCTAAAATAAAGTTCTAATCATCTAAACTCGCTGTCCTATTTATTTTTAATCATCAGATATAATCCTAAATTTATAATTTCTATAACAAGAAATGTTATAAATACGATCATTGCATAGTCAGGTAGAACCAGTGTAGCACAGAGAGTAGTATGGCTGTAGCTGTGTCGGCAGTGTTTCTGTGTCCTGTGCCTTCAGACCATGACCTATGAACTAGAAATTTGGCAGAAGACCATGAGCTCTGCACCAACAGTGTTACTCTAAATCTCAGCTCACCCATGATTTCAGTACAGGCATACTGTGATAGAGTAAAATTGAATATCTTATAAATATATTGTGATTGCAGTACTGACCTTTCTTACAGGACTTTTTTGCTGAAATAGTGTATGTAAAGTACTTTAGAAGAGAGAAGAGGAGGGAGAACCCTCTTAGTAAGGAGAAAAAGGCCAGTTTGAAAAACTTGAAAGTGACATGTTATTGACCACTTCTGAACAAATGCTGCCAAGAAAACCTTCTGATAGGTTTGCCCTAAGGTTATCATGAGAAATGACTTGAATTCACACCACAGAAGATATATATATGTATGTATGTATATATATATATATATATCAGTAAATATACCATAGCCCACTGGAAATTGTTGTTAAGACATAAATAAAAGAATTAGTATACATACAGCTGTGAGTAGAGG